CGTCGTTGCGTAACGCATGAATCGCATATAAGATTAACGAAGATTGATCCCTTTTTCGAGACACGTATTTGCAACCTTGACACACTAGCCGAGTCTTCCTACTTTCGAGCTACTGTTTGTATTGTTCACATTCGAGAAATTTGCATAGACAAGGAATATACTTTTACATGTATATTACAAAGAAAAAATTGTATGATAAATATTGTGTGTATAAATTTAATAACATAATTGGAACTCCCATATTTTATACTACAGGGATAACAGGTTTATCTCATGATCGAATCGCCATTGATAGTTCCCCACATTTCATAAAGTTATGGTGCTTTCAATATCATATATCGTTTTAATTTTCTTTGCTGCACCATCGTGTGTCACTTGAAGCTTCTTTGCATCGCGTGTTTGTGCATCGATAGCGAGTAATATCGCGATACGATACACGATATTTCATCTACTTTACAAGAGATCGGTGGTGTAAAGGTACGCGCATGAAAGGTGGCGCTGACGTAACGAGCAAAGCGTACAGAGACAAATGGAATCTGCGTTGATTACTCGACTCGTAGAACTCTCTTTCTGCGTGTACAAACGTTGAACTGCTTGGAATCATTGCACTCCCGTAGCACATGTACGTCTACCAACGGGGTAATCCATTTGCTGCCATTACGCGTAGACATCGTGTATCCATATCCCTGGCGAAAACCAGGCGAGTCACCGGCATGACAACCGTGCCTCTCCTTTCCGGTAAGTCAAAAAGAGGAACAAGCGATACGTAACGACCACGACGACGATGAAGAAAATGGTGGTGGTAACGATGGCTCGCGATCCCATCATGCTACAAAACGATTCGAACGACGAGGTGCCACGTTTATGCTCGCTGCTACGCCACTTTGGAATTTTTCAACCGCATCTCGAAACTTTACATCCGTTCGGAATTTTCGGATGTTAAATTTGATACTTTAGAAGCGTGACATTTTGGGATTTGAAACTTTAAAGTTTTTTAACTTTGGGACTTCGTGATTTTGAGTCTTTGGAATTGTGGAATTTTGGTGTATTGGGACTAGAATTTTTGACCAGTAAGGTCTTCGAGTAGGTAAAGCTTAGGGTCTCAACAGAGTCTAGGATGTAGGTAAAGCTTAGGACCTAAAGAAGGTTTATAAGACCTAAGATGTACATAAAACCCAGGTTTTAAAAACTAATACATAAAACCTAGGGAAGGTGCAATGCCTGAGGAGTCCTGAAGATCTTCGAACGTCCTCAGGTGCATCTACCGAGTTTATGAAATATCGCCTGTGCATCGCGATATCGCAGCAGAATCGTTCTGTCGCATAATTGCGGCTTGACAAATTGCAGAGCCGTGATTGCTTTGAAATTACGAGGACGAAAGTGATCGGTTCGCAGCGTATCTCGGCCGCGTATGGATCGAGCTTTAGGAGGCGTACGCGCGGGTCTCTTTGTGCAACACGAGGGCCGCAGGGCCATCTTCTTTCTCCGCTGTTGGACGGCCTCTGATACCTATTCCCCTCCTTCTTTGCCTGGTTTCTCGTCTTCCTTCTTTTGCATCGCGTGTTTGTGCATCGATAGCGAGTAATATCGCGATACGATACACGATATTTCATCTACTTTACAAGAGATCGGTGGTGTAAAGGTACGCGCATGAAAGGTGGCGCTGACGTAACGAGCAAAGCGTACAGAGACAAATGGAATCTGCGTTGATTACTCGACTCGTAGAACTCTCTTTCTGCGTGTACAAACGTTGAACTGCTTGGAATCATTGCACTCCCGTAGCACATGTACGTCTACCAACGGGGTAATCCATTTGCTGCCATTACGCGTAGACATCGTGTATCCATATCCCTGGCGAAAACCAGGCGAGTCACCGGCATGACAACCGTGCCTCTCCTTTCCGGTAAGTCAAAAAGAGGAACAAGCGATACGTAACGACCACGACGACGATGAAGAAAATGGTGGTGGTAACGATGGCTCGCGATCCCATCATGCTACAAAACGATTCGAACGACGAGGTGCCACGTTTATGCTCGCTGCTACGCCACTTTGGAATTTTTCAACCGCATCTCGAAACTTTACATCCGTTCGGAATTTTCGGATGTTAAATTTGATACTTTAGAAGCGTGACATTTTGGGATTTGAAACTTTAAAGTTTTTTAACTTTGGGACTTCGTGATTTTGAGTCTTTGGAATTGTGGAATTTTGGTGTATTGGGACTAGAATTTTTGACCAGTAAGGTCTTCGAGTAGGTAAAGCTTAGGGTCTCAACAGAGTCTAGGATGTAGGTAAAGCTTAGGACCTAAAGAAGGTTTATAAGACCTAAGATGTACATAAAACCCAGGTTTTAAAAACTAATACATAAAACCTAGGGAAGGTGCAATGCCTGAGGAGTCCTGAAGATCTTCGAACGTCCTCAGGTGCATCTACCGAGTTTATGAAATATCGCCTGTGCATCGCGATATCGCAGCAGAATCGTTCTGTCGCATAATTGCGGCTTGACAAATTGCAGAGCCGTGATTGCTTTGAAATTACGAGGACGAAAGTGATCGGTTCGCAGCGTATCTCGGCCGCGTATGGATCGAGCTTTAGGAGGCGTACGCGCGGGTCTCTTTGTGCAACACGAGGGCCGCAGGGCCATCTTCTTTCTCCGCTGTTGGACGGCCTCTGATACCTATTCCCCTCCTTCTTTGCCTGGTTTCTCGTCTTCCTTCTTCAGCAGCGGCAACGGCAGCAGCAGCAGCAGCAGCAGCGTCTCCTCTGACGCCGCTCCTCTGTCCTCTCGCGACGAGTCATCTCGTTTAGGTCGTGGCAAGCCGGCAAGGGGGACGAGGAGAACCCGACGACCGACGCCGCGGTGCACGACGAGAGGGGAAAGTCTCCTCTGGCTGTGGCAACGAGAACGAGAGAGGGAGAGGAGAGGAAGGGCCGGTGAGCCAAGGAACGAGGAGAGGAACCGTGAAGAGAGGCGACAGGGTCGAGGGAGAGTAGCTACGGGACAGAAGGATATATGGCTGTGTATTATGTACTCGGGACCCGTGTTACATACGCCTTCGTTCCTACGTGTACGTTAAGGTGCGTCTCCACCGGTGTTCGCTAACTGTTCGCGAATCGTTCTAGGAATCCTACAGTCGCGTAATCTTTATGATGTATGGCCGCCTGACACGTCGCCGTTTCGGTTCTAGGGTTGAATGAATTCTAATTGCGAGTATCGATGCTTTTCACTTCATCCAAGCTGTATACGTATCGAATGAGAGCGTCAAGACTAATACGTCTATCTAATGAGTCAAGATTATCTAATCATTCATGAACACGTCAGGTAATCCTTCAAAGGCGAGCGTTGTTTTTGAGTGCACTTAATCAATATCTTAAATTAGGAGCATAGCACAATTGCGTCTGCTGAAAGAACAAGTCATAACTCTTGTCCTCCACATACAGCAGAACTAGGGAAATATATGTATCATATATGGGACAGATGTTCTGCTAAAACCTGCCAATCCAGGAATTAGATAACTCACTTTCAATATCTATTATTGTGACCATTGCAGGTTACACATATGATTACCTATAATTGAGTTAATCTGACTCAACCTAATGAACCCCAATCATGTCTAACCCCCTAATCCTTAATCTCCCTCAATATATTTGAACATTAAAATTACATATAAATATAGAATGAGTACCAAGAGTATATCTAATCGTATCCTATATAAAAATCTCGTCGGGAGGTCGGAGCTGCAGGTTTCAGAATTTCAAACTTCCAATTGAATCGTGAAAAGATTGAACGTTATAAAACGTTTGCCGTTGAATACGCACCTTAAGCGAGCAGGTGTGTATACGTACGTTACCTCGTGCACGATCGTGTGTGCAGGTAATACGTGTGTATTGGTTTTGCGGTAGTATTGTGTATCCTAGACGGTGTGCGCGAAGGTGTGCGAAGGCTTTACTCGCTTCTCACGCGAGAAGTCTCTCCTAACCAGCTCGCATCGAAGATGCTGGCTAACATGGAATCACGCGACTCGCGTAAAAAATGATCCTGCCGATCCTGCGGCGAAAAAGGAGAGGCAGGACGCCGTCGAAAAAGATCCGATAATGGCACGATCCGAATGGACGAACGCAAGCAACCGAACGGAGATTCGAGCGGTATTCGTGGGTGGAGTAGAACGACGGGGAACAGTGCCAGACAAATTGCGACTGATAATTATCGTTGGTGCTGGACAGGGAGGGGGATATCGAGGTAGGCTCGCCGCGAGATAGAATGGCCAATTTTTTGACGGCCACCGACCGTCTGTGGAGGAGGAAATAGCTTGAAAGCGTTTAATTCGGAAACGACTGGGAAATTGTTGATGGATTTCTAGAATGGAAGGTACAATTTCATAGATACCGCACTGCCCTCCTTACTTCAATTGTCCTATTTACCATTTCCCTCACTTTTACAATAATTGCATTTTAACACATTTTTTGCCATCTAAAAATTTAAGACTTCAGTTTTCATAATAATTCTTTTGAGAGAGATGGTCAGTTCGTATTCTGAAAAATGTACATTCAACCTTAGAGGGTGTTAGGCACCTGAAGTATCAACATGACGCACCTGGTGCGTTCTATACTCCTTCACGATGAAAACTAAGTGACAAAAATAAAATAAATAAAGTGTAAAATCCCATCATGATTTTTTGAACAAACTAATATACCTTTTAAGAAATAATTTTATTGCATAGCATTTTAATCTATATTAATACACAGTGAAAATACGATTGCCATAATGTAATCGTTTAGATTCAAGCTTGACGTTATTTTGTATTATGTAAATTGATCGACCGTAAGACTTTCAATCAGTTCTGAGTTACAATTAAATAATTAATTTAATTACTGATTATGCGACGTCTAGCGAACTCTGCTGACCGAAATTATTACTGTTGACTGCGCCGCGTGATTCCATTAGTATCGACGAAAGGTAAAGGAGGTCTTTATTGTGTTTCATAATTGAGAACTACACGAGAAATAATTAATGCAATTTTATTCGTAATATATTCATAATTCGAATGAATTGAAAATTTTACACGTGTTCACTTTCGTTTTATCGATTGTTTCGATAACCTTGATTTAATTAGAATAAAATAACTACAATTTGAAATTAAATTCAGAGTTTTTGTTATGTCATTTGTGAATATGGACAAATCTGCGCATTCTTTTTGCCGAATGCTATTGTAGGTATTATAGGGTAGTGCTCGAGCATCCAGTAAGATGTCATTAATATGTAATTAAAAATGTCTCGTATCACTTTTCCGATGTAAGGAAAATCTGCAAAATAAATTAGGATTATCAAAATAATTTTAATGTAAGAATCTGACTAATTTATTAATGTAAATTTTTCGAAAGAAGATTTTTGAGGATTATTCTAAAATCAACATCGTATAATTTAAAGTTCTGTCTATCTCGATTAAAAAATAAGCGTTCTGCGGTTTTTAAGCAGACCACACGACACGCTATTAAGTCACTTACTGCACAAGTATAACGTAAATTCTCGTTGCTTTACATTCAAATAAGAGTACCACGTATGCGGCTTTTTATCTAAAACAGACAAATATGTTTGACCTCGCGATTAAAAGCATCAAACGGGAGATAATGAAAAATGCACGTTTAACTAACATTTCAATCCTGTCATTTTGTACGTGATATCGAGGAAAGCCGTTTCGTTTATCCCGACATCCACATACCACATGCCATTTATTGCATTCGACGCCAGTTGCAGAAAATCGGGATCCGCATTGTCCATGTGTTTCGCGATTATTTCGTCCGCGATCCTTCTACATAGCTCCGTCGTCTCTGATACCGTTTTTCTACAGATATTTATCCTGCACAAAATTTTAATTTGTTCAGGTTAAATTTAAATTTATAAACAACTTGTAAATTTGTGGATCGAATTCTTTTCCAATCGCCAAAATAATCATCCTAAAATTAAATAGTCAGCAAAATAAAATCTTCAATAATCAAAGATTCGTTGACAAAGAAGAATCAGTTTTATCAGCAAAAAAAAATAAAAATAAATTAATACCCATTTGATTACCGATCGTCAATGTCCAACAGGTGACCCATGACGCGCCAAAAATGATTGTATCCCATTCGCTGCTCCTGCGTGCCATGATCCAAGCCCATAAACCGTGTGCACACCAACACGTATCCTATGAAGCCGAACTGTGTGATACCCATGTCCTTTTGGTATATTCCATGAAGACCCTGCCGGAGTCGTCTCTTGCTGGTGTTCGCGTGCTTCCATCGAATCACGTTCAACGCCTTGAACCACCTTGAAAGTGGTAAAGGTGAATACGTACGTTCGTGTAACCGGTTCGGTTCACCGTTTTTTTGCGAACACTTCTCACGTGAAATTTAATGGAACGCGTTCTTGAAACTCACTTTGAATTCGGGTCGAGTATGTCGACACGATGCAACTGGTACATGAGTAACAGCGTCTCCGAGAAGCGTCTGTACGCTAGGCAGACCGTGCTGTTCTTCTTCGTGAATAGGAGCATCTGATACAAATGATGATAGCTTTAATATCTAGCGTGGTATGCGGGTCGAGGGAAAGTGTTAAAGGGTTTTGGAATTTTGGGACAGTAGGACCTTGCAACGGTGGGATGTTGAGGCATTGCGAAACTTGTGAAAGTTGGGGACTTTACATTTTGGGAGTTTGGGACTTTGGGATTTTGGAATTTTGGGAGTTTGAGACTTTGCTGCTTCGGGACATTAGGATATTGGGATCTTGAAGTTATAACTTCATTCGGTGCGTAGAAATTCGATGGGTAGAAATTCGGCGCTTCGGTGCGTAGAGATTCTACGCGTAGGAAATTCGATGCGTGGAAATTTTACACGTAGGAAATTCGGCGCGTGGAAATTCTACGCGTGGAAATTCGGTGCGTAGAGATTCTACGCGTAGGAAATTCGATGCGTGGAAATTTTACACGTAGGAAATTCGGCGCGTGGAAATTCTACGCGTGGAAATTCGGTGCGTAGAGATTCTACGCGTAGGAAATTCGATGCGTGGAAATTTTACACGTAGGAAATTCGGCGCGTGGAAATTCTACGCGTGGAAATTCGGTGCGTAGGGATTCTACGCGTTGGAAATTCGATACGTGGAAATTCTATGCGTAGGAAATTCGGTGCGTAGGGATTCTACGCGTAGGAAATTCGATACGTGGAAATTCTACGCGTAGGAAATTCGGCGCGTGGAAATTCTACGCGTGAAAATTCGGTGCATAGGGATTCTACGCGTAGAAAATTTGATACGTGGAAATTCTACGCGTGGAAATTCGGTGCGTAGGGATTCTACGCGTAGGAAATTCGGTGCGTGGAAATTCTACGCGTAGGAAATTCGGCGCGTGGAAATTCTACGCGTGAAAATTCGGTGCATAGGGATTCTACGCGTAGAAAATTTGATACGTGGAAATTCTACGCGTGGAAATTCGGTGCGTAGAGATTCTACGCGTAGGAAATTCGATGCGTGGAAATTTTACACGTAGGAAATTCGGCGCGTGGAAATTCTACGCGTGGAAATTTGGCGCGTAGAAATTCGGTGCGTAGGAATTCGACGCGTAAAAATTTGGTGCGTGGAAATTCTACACGTACGAAATCGGTGCGTGGAAATTCACATAACTTGTGAGAATTCAGCTTTAGAATTTTTTGACTTCGAAACCTTAAAATTTCCAAATTTCGGAACTTTGAGATATCCAGAACTTCGATAGCTTAGAACTTTAAAGCTTGAAAACTCTATAATATTATTACTTTAGAAATTTGGAACTTCAGAGTCTTTGGACTCTGGAATTTTAAGCATATCAAAGCTTCAAATTTTTCAATCTTAGAATTGTAAAACTGAAACCTTCAGTCCACTTAAAATGATACCTCCAATATATCTGGAACAGCCAATATGGCCAATAGGCCTGCCAAATGTGCAGTTCCGAATCCTAGCAAGTTGTCCATGTAATACTCCTGTCCTCTGAAAATGAAATATTTGCTCATCGCAGTTCTGTCTATTTTTTTTCGAGAAGTGTATACTTACAATTTGAACAATCTTTCGTCGTACCATTCTGGTAAGTCGTCGGGTGTAACTTTCACGAATTCGGGACTGATTGTTGTCCTGTCTTCTACGAGCAGTTTGAAATGCTCGTCGACTGTGGCTGGTTGAACTGATAAATTCATTCAATTTTATTTTAGTACTCATATGTTTAGGGTACGTTTATCAGTTTTTTAGCGCAAATTCGCTTGATTTTAGACATTCAAGATGTAATTTTTGAGAGTAGATTTGCTGTTCTTTAGGTTGAATAAAATAGTCACGTGTCTTATTTCAAATTACATATAAATTACTTAAACACTAACATAGTTCTTTAATCTACTCTTAAAGAATTCACTATTATCTTCAAGTTCAATATGTTCAAATGCGTTAATCTATAGATAACAGTATTGATGACGATTAATATTTTTCCAAACTCGATGACTTTGTTCAAAATCTATAAATACATAGACACCATTAACTGAACGATGTAACAACTAAACTTTAAACTTGATACATATTGAAATCCACTGCATGTATCATGAAATGTTCGAACATTCAATACCTCCTTAAGCAACAATCGTGTACGAAGAAAATAAAATGAATCCAAGATAACGAATTAGGGCAATGCAGCTGGAAAACAATACTCACGTTCATCGATGTGCTTTTTCTTCCCCATTGTTCGTCGCTAAACAGAATGTTACACTGCAAGTTGCCGAGTAAAATTTTCGATGAAAATCCTAGCTAAGTGGTCGGCGTTATAGAGAGAGAGATAAACATTCAGATATAAGATTATACGTGAACGGTCAGCACGTGCTGAACAATTACTTTTACATTTTGACAGCTTCGGTCACGTTTCTGATCTTTATCAGTTTTAACTTCCTTATTTTTTTAGTTACTACAGATTCCAAATAATTATATTTTTGGAATTATTGTAATTTTACGTTTGGTATTATTGTAATTTTATGTTTTCTTTTGGAGAATAACTTTTTCAGTAATTTCAGTAATTTAATATAAATTAGAACCGTTGTTGAGTTTTTAACACGTACTATTTCTTATCACATCACTCTCGGGCGTTGCAAGTTTGCACTGTCAGTTTGAAGAGAAAGAAGCCTTGCACCATCCGTAACAAGCGATGCACACCGACTGACTGACTTCGTTCAAGTGTCATTAAATCTGCCTGCGAGGTGAATTTCCCTCCCATATTCTATGATCAGTCATTGCCAGTGGACGTATCAGTGTGGTCATTAACTACGAACGTGTCTAACCTGGCTGCGTTACGTAATCAATGAATAGTTATTTGCTACAGATGATGCTAATCACTTTCTAAATTATTCTTGACCTTCAAGTCGACTGATTAAATTTCAAAACACTCTTGAGATCTATGAGATGAACATAGTTTTGCATTACTCGTTTAACGCGAGTCTTTGATCAACTTTACAGCTTTCAGTTCATAAAACGGTGTCTTTAAATAAAAAGATTAGTTACCTTCGTAAATAATGTACTAGAAGTTTATGAGACAATAAAATGAAGATATAGAATTTATTTTTTGATAGTTTTTATAAGTCAAATAAACTCGTTGCTTGGATGTGAACTTCTGGGTTAGATAAGCAACTATGCAACTAAGATAAGGAAGTGTTTACTGAAGTAATAAATTCAATATGTAACAATTTAAGAAGTAATCTTATTGCAATTGCTAGTATTATATGAAAATGTTTATATAATATCATTTTTTATTTGTATTACAATCTTTTCTGTCTTATATCGCTTAGTATCAAAATACGAACATAAAAATATTTAAGTTTACAGTATTACAAATATGATTCACTGAAGTCATTAAAAATCTATTAAGAGTCCATACAAACCGACTTTTGACTTTTGCTAAGTGCTACTTGCGGTCATAAAACGTATTTGAAACGTTGCAGGAAAAATCATGACATAAATAAGTGATTTATTTTTACATGGAAAGAAATATCCGTATGTGACATATTCTTAAAATTATTAAAATATTATTTTGCATTTGAATTAGCGTTTTTTATCAATATCCCGAAGAATGTCACGGATAGAGTTTGATTTACGAGCAGCATACTTGAGCTCTAGATAGAACACTAACATTGACATCGACAAACCAACTAGAAGCAATGAAAAACCAGCACCGAGCGGAGTCAATCCGAGTACTTGCGTGCTTCCATCGTATCCGTCCTGCTCTACGAGAACTTTGCGAAGGTTATAGTTGTTTCTCTTACGAATCACGTTACGCAAATGCCAGATAGTGATGCCAGTTTCCCTCAGCCATAGTATTAACTACGGAATAACAAAATGATGTAGGTTGCACGAACTTCCGGTTAAGTTCTGTGTCACGAATTTTTTCAGAGACATTCACATAGACAAATTCACAAATTTTTTCGAGTCGTTATCTCTGTTGAAAAATTTGGACTCGTTTATTTTTTGTCGGTTGTGAATTTTGGGAGGGTGAGAAATTGAAAATGTGATAAATTAGGGATGTGAGAATTTGGGGGTTTGAGAATTTGGGGGTTTGAGGAATTTAGGGGTGTGAGAATTGGGGGTTTGAGAATTTTGGGATGTGAGAATTTAGCAACTTTAGAATTTGGAGGTTTGAGAATTTTGGGATGTAAGAATTTGGGGGTTTGAGGAATTTAGGGGTGTGAGAATTGAGGGTTTTAAAATTTGGAGGCTTGAGAATTTTGGGATGTGAGAATTCAGCAACTTTAGAATTTGGAGGTTTGAGAATTTTGGGATGTGAGAATTTGGGGGTTTGAGGAATTTAAGGGTGTGAGAATTGGGGGTTTGAGAATTTTGGGATGTGAGAATTTGGGGGTTTGAGGAATTTAAGGGTGTGAGAATTGGGGGTTTGAGAATTTTGGGATGTGAGAATTTGGGGGGTTGAGGAATTTAGGGGTGTGAGAATTGGAGGTTTGAGAATTTTGGGATGTGAGAATTTGGGGGTTTGAGGAATTTAGAGGTGTGAGCATTGGGGGTTTGAGAATTTGGAGATTTGAGAATTTTGGGATGTGAGAATTTGGGGGTTTGAGGAATTTAGGGGTGTGAGCATTGGGGGTTTGAGAATTTGGAGGTTTGAGAATTTTGGGATGTGAGAATTTGGGAGTTTGAGGAATTTAGGGGTGTGAGAATTTTGGGATGTGAGAATTGGGGGGTGTGAGAAATTGAAAATATTACAAATTGGGGTTTGAGAATTTTGGGATGTGAGGATTTTGGAGTATGAGAAGTTGGATTTGTGTAATTTGTGTATGATCGTGATTTGAAGGTTTCAGTAATAGCTACTGTTAGTAATAGTTCGAATTAGTAATAGTAATAGCTTGAATTAGTAATAGTAATAGTTCAAACTAATAATAGTAATAGTTTAAATTAGTAATAGTAATAGTTGAAACTAGTAATAGTAATAGTTCAAACTAGTAATAGTAATAGTTCAAACTAGTAATAGTAATAGTTCAAACTAGTAATAGTAATAGTTCAAACCAGTAATAGTAATAACTCAAACTAGTCATACTAATAGTACTGTATGATTCATTTCCCTATTCCAAAGCAGTAAATATGTTTACCCTGTTCACTGGCACCAATAGCCACGGCTGAACAGCAAACGCCGCGTAATGGTGGCCCACGGAGTGCCTCATCAGCCTGTAATTCTAAACAATCAAATTACCAAAACATTTTCGCTGGTACATCGCATGTTACCTTAAGATCTTCATTCGTCACATTATTCTCCGGAAAGAAGCATGTGTCTATGATCTTTCCTATAATCGCGAAATTGCCCCGTTTAATTAAGGCTTCCGTTTGCGTGCTGTTCTCCGTATTAATGTATCTACTTGGCAGCTGCGCCGCGTACGGATCCTACAAGCAACTTTGTTTATTTCAAAATAACCCACTTTCACGTATTGACGCATTATTCCTATCTGACCGTAAGATCGAAATAATCACGAAACGGCGGCGGACCCTCCTCTCCCCACCATAAATTCGCATCAAGAAATTGTTTGATGGTATCGATTCTGAAAGCAACGGAATGCTGGGTTCTTTCCTCGCTTCCCGATAATTAGCCGCACCGATAACGTTTCCTATGTAATATATAAATATGTATAAGTACCTGGGCTCGTATTCAGAACCAGCCAGGCTGGCTGCTAGGCTGCTGCAATAAGCGGTAATTATTAACCAACCGGCGGTCTGCCATAGAAGTATCTGCAGTTTGTTGTTCGCGATAGTTTTCGGTACTGTACTGCTCAGTAAATAGCCAATTAGATCCGTCAGGGTAATTAGGAAATTTCGAAAACCTGAAAGACATGTTCACGGTTTTTCTTTAGACTGTAAAAAATATACTTCAAAATTTTAAAATATATTTCATAGACACTTCTTTATAATTTTTTATTTTACATTCTTTTAAATTAGGGGAGAGTTGCGAACTTTGGAGAGATGTTTATATTGGGAGGATATTTTTTTTTTAAATTTTGTACAACATTTATTTGGACAATTTTCAAAATTATCTTAAGAATTTTTGTTAAGGTTTAAGTCAAAGTTTGACTGTACTTATTACTTGTATTTTGGAGATACATTAATTCTAGTTCATCTTTATTCTTTTTTCTTTCTAATGGACCGTTTTACATATGTGCTTTTGTCTTGAATAAATTTGGTTCTTGGGTTGTCTATATTATTCTCAAGTAATAAATTGTCCAATATAACACATTTTGGATATTACATACGTTTTGGATATTTCGGGTCAATCCAAGCCCTCGTCCACGTGTAAAGACTATGAGTGATAATCACCGATACCAACAGGTACCACACATTCGTAGAAAATGGTCGAGCGAGGGCCCAGAAGCTGGTGGTTCGACGTGGACGAGGCACCAAAAAGTGTAGATACACTTGGTACCACGCTTCTGATAAGTTAATAAATTTATACTGATCATGTGTCAGCCAAATACTACCAAACGCCATGTCCACCTGGAAACTATCCTATGAACAAATAATTTCAACATGTCAAAGTCTTGTTATACCTGTTTCTTATGTAACATTTCTATCATTCCACCCTTCCATACAGTCTCGTTGACCCGTCTACCATATCTGCAAATTTATAAATTAAAATGTATCTTAGAATTTATTGACATTTTCCTTTTGGTTTTCTTAATTATTTTATAAATTAAAGTATCTTAAAATACACACTTGAAGTTTCCTTTAGGTTTTCTAAATTATTTTATAAATTAAAGTGTGTCTTATAATTTATACACACTCGAAGTTTCCTTTTGGTTTTCCAAATTATTTATTTTATAAATTAAAGTACCTCCGAATTTATACACACTCGAAGTTTCCTTTTGGTTTCCTAAATTATTTATTTTATAAATTAAAGTATCTTAGAATTTATACAAACTTGAAGTTTCCTTTAGGTTTTCTTATCGACCAGGTAAAATTTAGTTTTTCAGCCATGATGAGGAACAGCTGCATCTCGACGCCATCTTTATCCAAATCTGCATCATACAAATAAAGTTACTAAATATTAAACTAATACAATTTACAATTTTATATTTAATTTACCTCTATCTGTTATGAAAACTTCAGTCAGCACCCCATCGATGGTTTTATTAACCGTGCGATTGAAATAAGTCATAGGAGGTCGAAATATGCTGCAGACTTGCATCTCCCTGCCACGGAAATTCATTTTGCTGTAATCATGCGCCATGTCCTCGTACCTTTTTCAGAATCCCGTTTCGTTTTAAACATAGAACAATCGTCTGGAATTTTAAATTTGTTTTAATTCAGTTACCTTTCAAGCTTAGTAAATATTCGGGGCTTTAAATAATTTTCCGATAACTTCCATATTCCAGACATAGAGACGATATTCACGTCCGCGTCTCTGTATAGGGAGCTGTTAAATATACTTGAATCGTTAGAGACAATACTATTTATGATAATCAAAACTTCAGTTTGCGGCTGCAACGACGATATCCTATCAAAAGTACATATGTGAAAATATTTAGTTATCTCAAGCTGTTTTAATACAACTGATATGTTTTCACTTTGATATAAGTTCCATGACATCGGTGTCACTCGATCCCAGCAAGAAGTAGCCGTCACATTCGTTTCGTTTCAAGAGGTACTCGTATGGATAGATACTTCTGAATTGCCTGAACAGTACTTCCAAATCCTCGATCGAATCTGTACGGAATTCGAGAATACACTTGATGTGTTTTCATGGAAAATCTTTTGCTTACTAACCGCTTAGGAAAACGTTGCAGCATCTTGAGTTAGGTAACGACAATTTGATGATCCTTGAGAAATTGTCATTTGAGATCCAGGATTCGGATTTAGGTACAAACATGGCGTTTCTTTTAGCAGTTGCCGTAAAGAGAAATAGGAGGAAAGTATAAAATGTCTTGTGCATGTCTGGTTTCATTTATTGTGGACTGTTTATTTATCTTGAGAAGATTTAGATTTTTGTTCAATTTTAAGAGTGTGACATTGGCAGATTATAGAACCTTGAAATTCTCAGATTTCAAAATATTTAAATTAGCAAGGATCTGAAGTTTTTTATTCTTATGCAGAGTTTGACATTTTCTAATTCTCACAAACCAGAATTCTCAAGTATCCAAATTCTTGCAGTTTCAAATTCTTAAAGCTCCATATTCTTACACCCCCAAATTCCCATATGCTCAATTTCTCATATATCCAAATTCTCACATGCCAAAATACTCACATCCCCTAGTTCTCACTTTCCAAAATACTCACACCCTCAAATTTTCACATGCCAAAATACTCACACTCTCTAATTTTCACATGCCAAAATACTCACACCCCCAAGTTCTCAAGCTTTCAAATTCCTAAACCCCAAATTCTCAAGCTTCCAAATCTCTGAACCCCAAATTCTCAAGCTTCTAAATCCGTAAACCCCAAATTTTCAAGCTTCCAAATCCCTACACCCCAAATTCTCAAGCTTCCAAATTCCTTAAACCGAAATTCTCAAGCTTCCAAATCCCTAAGCCCTAAATTCTCAAGCTTCCAAATCCCTAAACTCCAAATTCTCAAGCTTCCAAATCCTTAAATCCCAAATTTTCAAGCTTCCAAATCACTAAAACTTAAATTCTCAAGCTTCCAAATCCCTAAATCCCAAATTCCCAAGCTTCCAAATCCTTAAATCCGAAATTCTCAAGCTTCCAAATCCCTAAGCCCTAAATTCTCAAGCTTCCAAATCCCTAAACTCCAAATTCTCAAGCTTCCAAATCCTTAAATCCCAAATTTTCAAGCTTCCAAATCACTAAAACTTAAATTCTCAAGCTTCCAAATCCCTAAACTCCAAATTCTCAAGCTTCCAAATCCTTAAATCCCAAATTTTCAAGCTTCCAAATCCCTAAACCCCAAATTCTCAAGCTTCCAAATCCCTAAATCCCAAATTCTCAAGCTTTCAAATTCCTTAAACCGAAATTCTCAAGCTTCCAAATCCCTAAACCCCAAATTCCCAAGCTTTCAAATCCCTAAACCCCAAATTCTCAAGCTTCTAAATCCCTAAATCCCAAATTCTCAAGCTTCCAAATCCCAAAAGCCCAAATTCTCAAGCTTCCAAATCCCTAAACCCCAAATTCTCAAGCTTCCAAATTCCTCAAACCGAAATCCTCAAGTTTCCAAATCCCGAAACCCCAAATTCTCAAGCTCCCAAATCCCAAAACCCCAAATTCTCAAACCCCAAACCCCAAATCCCAAGTTCCTAAATTCCCCAATTTCTCTCCACAACACATCCACAACTTCCCCACTGGTTTCACTTTTTCCACCAAAAATTGCGCCACCTTCACATCACAACTGCACCCCCTAGATTCCGAATGTCATATACAAGCTCGTGACTCAAGAACCCCACCTATATAGACACATTGATGCATGCAATTTAAGCCATAAAGTATGCACAAACATAATTGTCAAGGTGCAACTTGCTGGCAGATAAGGGTGACGATAAAGAAGCCTGTGCAAACAGAATTATAACTCGTGGTTGACACATGAAATGTAATGGCCCGGTTTCGAGTGTTATGCTTTCGTATCGTTGTTACTTAATTGGCGATGAGACATTAATCAACGGTTTAGTGGTAGGAGATAATCGTGACATCGTTAGATACCTGGACGTTCTTTTTTATCGTTCGGTTATTGTTGTTTTTATTTCTTAATATGTGTACGTTTCTTCTCTCTTGTCACGCGTTATTTTGTTAACCTTGATTAGGCAATGTGATTATGATATTCAAATTTTAATTTTCTTATGAAGAATTTGTGTTTTATAGGAATTCGGTTTTGTACAAATGATGGTTTTATTAAATTACATGATAAATGTTGTACAACACGAAAATTGTACAATAACAATTTTACAATAAGAATTTGTTCGATAAATAACGTAAAATAAAATGAATCTCATATTGAATCATACGTGTACATATTTTTGAATAATTCTCAAGAGTTAAACATTGTGATAAAATATAAATTTGATTGTTTTTTAAGATTTATTGAACAGAGTATATTCTTGTACAGCAAGTAGTAAGTAGGAAGTAGAAGTTATTAATTAGAATATGTATACGTAAATATATATTTTGCACGAGATTATGAACATTTAACATACTTTGCACCTTGCGTGTAAAATTCTGTATAAAATTAAACATCATATTTCATTTTCTAGCATGCACAGTACATATCCTTTGCACGGTCTGGTGTGCTATAAACGTATAAGTATCCGCAATTTAGTGATAATAATTGTTCATGTACTATAAAAATGTCCATTTTTCAAGGCCTCTTTAATTGCAGCCGGTAATAAAAACTAACGAGTTTCGTTTGACGATGAGCAATACATCATGCACGATATAATCTGCTTGCTCGTTAATGTTGCACTCATGAATTTTTCGAATTTATTCCTAAATTCCTTATTGCTTAACGAAGAAAACATCTTCGTATTTACTAACAACGTTCGAATCATTTATTCTTCCGAGATACAGTTAACAGAATAAAATTAACAAAACTTATCTATCCGATAAAAAATTACCCAACGCCGTGAATCTGTAAAAATACCCGTACGATAACGAGCGCCATTTCGTTGGTAAACAACGCTCGGGTGTCGCCATGCCCGATTTAATGTCGTTCCGAGTCGCATAATGTACATTACGTATCCGAGAAGATTTTCATTTGCATCGAATTAAATGTGTTAATCATCGGGTTTCGGTGAAATATAATTCCCCATTGTCGAAAAGGAGTGACGTGACAATTTCAACCAGCAGCCGGTTGCACGAACTGTAGAATTCATAGTTAGTTTCCTTTGGTGAATCGTGTTTCTTGTGCGATGGGTGATCTTAATTTATTGACGAGGCTTATTGCTCGTGCGAGTACAGGTAGTTTTTTTTAGTGATGTGTCGGTGTATATTACGTGATAATTAAGCGGCTTATAACGACACTGGTATAATTATTATGCGTTGGATTGTATAAGTAGTGACTAGATTTCGATGCGTTACACGTGTGATTATGATGCGTTGTGTTGCTAGGAGTAGTAGTTTAACGCGTTATGAGACTACATGTGTGATTACTACGCGTGATATTTCAATGCGTTGTTTCTCCGCGCGTGTATTTCCACGCGTTGCATATCTCCACGTGTGGTACTTCCACGCGCCGTATATCTCCACGCGTGGTGTTTCCACGCGCCCTATATTTCCACGCACAGTATTTCCACGCGCCCCATGTCTCTACGCGTGGTATTTCCACGCGTGGTACTTCCATACGCCCTATATCACCACGCGTGGTACTTCCATGCGTCCTATATCTCCACGCGTGGTATTTCCATGCGCCCTATATCTTCACGCGTGGAAATACTACGCATGGTACTTCCATGCGCCCTATATCTCCACGCGTGGTACTTCCATGCGCCCTATATCTCCACGCGTGGTACTTCCATGCGCCCTATATCTCCACGCGTGGTACTTCCATGCGCCCTATATCTCCACGCGTGGTACTTCCATGCGCCCTATATCTCCACGCGTGTGGTGTTTCCACGCGCCCTATATCTCCACGCGTGGTATTTCCATGCGCCCTATATCTTCACGCGTGGAAATACTACGCATGGTACTTCCATGCGCCCTATATCTCCACGCGTGGTACTTCCATGCGCCCTATATCTCCACGCGTGGTACTTCCATGCGTCCTA